GAGGAGGCAGAAAGAGAGAAAGGAAAAGAAAAATAGTGGGATGAAAACAATAGCAATAAAAAAATAAGTTAAATGGTTGTGGAGAAATGTGCGCACAGTGTAGAACACACGGTGAAAGTCATAAGATTTTCAATCAGGTTCATGTAACTGGAAAACCCAAGGCAGATATGTCTAATTTTATATTACGTTTGACCAACTTAATGAAATCCATTTGACCCAGTTCAACTATAGTCCATCACTGACTTCAAAATGAATATTCAACACTAAAAGCAGAGGTGCCAAATTCATTTAAGCTGCTACTACGTGCTGGTCTGCCTTCCTTCCTCCTGCTCTTCCTCTTTGCTCTTTATGACCCAACTTCTGTACTCAAAGCAGCAAATCTTGAATCTGCCCTCCCAGAAGCCACAGAGGCAGTTTGCTGCCCATTTTGTCAATCCCTTCCTAAGCTTGTCCTTTTTGACCTCTCTGAGCCATTTGAATCCATTTATACTTGGTTTCTTTCTTTTTCTCTTGTTTAATTCCCAGAGGATGTATGTGCTTGCAAAAGAGAGAGAAATAGAGAGAGAAATAAAGAGAGAAAAGGCCCTCCTCACTGGGGTGTGCTTACATCATAATTTCTTTTCTTCTACTTCTCTATTCTGTTGGGATTTCAGGCTTGCACATACACATGCACCTGGTGTGTTTTACAAGATGTTGGGGTCAGGACTCAAACCTCAGTTGGTCTTGTGGGATCTGGATCTTTTAACCACCAGGATATGGGGCTGGCCCTATGCTCCCTCCCTCTTGAGTGTCTCTGCTCTCCTTATTCCCTGGATTGAGATGGTTACCTTCTGTTTGTCCAAAAGTCCAGCACTACTGAGGCTCATTTGGTGCTCAATGCATTATGCTCAACACAGAGCTAAGTTCTGAGTCACAAAACTGAGTAGGACTCAGGTCCTGATCTTAGGAATGTCAGTGCAATAAGACGTCTTCCTTCCTCTACTGTGTGGCCTCTTTTCTGGATCCTCTAACTACTCAAGTCTCCTTAAGTATAAACACACCTAAATTTCCCATCTGCTCAGTTTTCATCTGCTCTCTAGTTTTCTCTCAGGGATTTTAGTTTTTCTGTACGAAGATTAGGCCCAGTTATGGACCTCTGGCCTTGAACTCCTCAGCTTGGCAGCTGTCCTTCCTGTGGTCTAACCTAAGCCGACTTTCCACTACGGTATTCCTTTCTTTTCAGCAAGCATTAGTTGCTCTGTCAAAATTGGACCTCTTGCTGTTTTTCAACCATGCTCTTCTCTATCAGTCTCTATGCCTTTAATCATACTATTTCCATCGGCCTGAAAACTTTCCCCATCTGTGCCTGCAGAATAATTACTCATTCTTTAAAGCCCATTCCAAATGCCGCCACCTCTCGCAAGAAGACTTTGGTGCAGTGGGGCAGTGGGGCAGTGGGGCAGTGGGGCCAGTGTGTGGGTGGTAAAAGAGTTTACCAGAGACATAAATGTAAGCATTAGTAGAAGTTAGGTTTATTAGCGCTCAGGCAAAAGTGCCTGGGAGAGCCCAGGCGAGAACACCTATGACGAGACCCGAGCAGACGCGTGGGTTTGTGCCTCAGGTCAGAGACTGACCTTTTTATGGTCTCAGTCTGATTGGAGGCCGAGAGTAAGGAGAAACTCTGCAAGCGGGTTCGGACTGGGGGTAGCTGGTCACGTCTCAGGAACGTAGAGCATCTATCAACTATAGAGATTTTGGGAGGTGACACCAGATGGGGGGATCTAGAACGTCTGTTTTTCGTGATGTAAGCTTATCTTGGGATCTTTATGGACGTCTTTTTACTAGCCTGAGCAAGTTTACTTATTTCCTTAGGTAGGGCTCATCTTGCCCCCCCCCCTCCCAATTAACCCTGATTTGCCTATTTTCTTAAGAACTTTCTACAGACTTCTCTGATTCCTTCTCTAGTCTTCCATTTCTGGAAACTAGATGTAGGCTCTTACCTCTTCCTTACTGCTGGGACACACTGTGCCTCTCTTAAATCCCTTATTTTCTGTCTTGACTTGTGTTCTCATCCATTGTAGGCTGAGATTTCATTTGGCAATGGCTGCTTTTGTCTGGTTTTTATGTCACTGATGTCACATAGCTTACATGGATGGTCAAAAACTACACTTAACATACTCTTACCAGATTCAGCTGAAACCTACAGACTCAAGAAAAAACCATGATCACATCTCACCTTTCCTACCCCTTCAGCATATTATCTACCATATTTTTCTGGAAAACTACTTTCAGGAAATAGAATTTTTAGGATCAAAAACCCCAACTTATTTTTTTCTATTAAATGTTTTGGTAGACAATTAAGATGTCCTTCTCTGTCAGAGATGGGATGATGGCATTTCTAGGAGCTGCCTGTGATAAGGATATATGAGAAGCAAAGAGGGGTTGCAGGGAGCCAAGGAGATCCCTGGTCTCATCTCAGTTCCCTAACAATCTCCCATGTGACTGCAGCCCAGGTACTTATCATCTCAGTATCTCAGTGAAAGGTTAATAAAGTTAATCTCTTCCTTGGGATACATGGGGAAATAAACAGGATTTTATATATATTTGTACATTAATAATTTATATATTCCTTAAATACTATAGCTCAAGTTCTAGTAATGAGCTATGACACATGGGTCTATAGTTCACATTTATTCCTCTTTTAAAAAATTTTTTTGTTTGATTTTTGCTCTTTATTCCCCCTCCCCCCCCACACACACTAAGGTTCTTGTCATAGGGCACATGTGCTTAATGGAGAGAAACAGAGAGAGACAGTGAGAGGGAAAGTGAGAAGTCACCCCCAAGGGGAGATGGCCATGCTTTAATCCCTTCTCCCCCATTCTCCTCCTGGAATTTTGGGCACTCATGCACATGCACCCAGCATGATTCTCAAGTGGCCAGGTGCAGGACTCAAATTGTGGTTGGATATGTGGAAGTCCAGAGCTTTAACCACCATGTCATCTGCTGTAGCATATTCACAAGTGGAGCTTTCGTACCAAAAATATTCAAGTCTTACAAATGCCCTATTTAGCCTTTATAACTTTTCTTTTAACAAAGTATTAAGAAAATGTCCAAAGTACAAGACGAAGGAGAACCAAGTACTCTAGTAGGGGAACACGGGCCTCTTTCAACCCATCCTGCATGCTATAGTGGTAATGCTAGTGTGTATATGGGGGCAATTTCCAAAATAGTCTTGGAAATGAGATGCTCCAGAGAAATCAGCTGAAATCTGTTGCTTCTAAAAGATAAGGAGCATCTAACTCCCCAGGTACTTACATGCCACCTTCCACCCCCATTTGTAAATAAACTGGGTATTTTACCACTATGTCGGCTTTCGTACATGCTGAATGCAAGAATGTGAAATGCATGTGACAAGAAATAAAAGAGAATAATTATGATGGGTATAATAGTAAAATAATGGTGGTAGGATAAGCATTTATTTTGTAAAAACTCCTTAAAGTTAAAAGACACTATTAAACAAGTATATACATATATATTTGTTTTAGAGGAATAGAAAAAGCTAATCCTATCTTTTTTTAAGGAAGAAAAAAGCTCGTTTCTTTTGAAGTATCAGATCAATTTGGCTCTTGATCTCCTAGTTGTAGCCCTTATGAAAACCAGACCAAGCCAAGCCAAGCCAGTGACAATACACTGAATTCAATCAGAAATGAGTCTTCTTTTAATGAGTACAATGTGGGCTATTTATTTATTTATTTTTTTTCAGAATATATGTGTGTTGAGGACACTCTTCCTTTTTAAGTAGCTTTTAAAACTCTCCAAGGACACTGAAAAGGTACATCTAGAGAGTTTTCAGTTTTGGTTTAGTGTACTTTGGAATGGTCTTCTAGCACTGGCTTAGCAAACCTCTGTTAGATGGTGAAATGCATGTGTAAAAAAGTTCCAACTATTATTTTTAATGTAGATAAAATACTTCAAAACTTAAGTTTAAAGCAGATTAAATGGTACAATAGATAATGGATACTGAGAAAAACACATTTAACTGCGTTGATTACAGTGGAAATGTAATTTTAAAAAAAGAGGGAACCCAAGGATGAAGGTAGAAATAGAAACTTAGTTTAATTAAACACGAGTATGTCACTCATTCGTAAATACAGTCAATCAATGAAATAAATAAGATGAAATTTCTGTATGTGCTCTGTCATGAATCTTAAGCCATTTTACCTGAAAAAAAAAATAACCCTAAAGTTTTTGACTAAAAACCTAACCTTTTGGGGATCAGCATTTGGCGTAACAGCTATATTGCTGGACTCCCATGAAGTCAACCGCGGTTCTAGTCCTGGACCCGGTGGCTTAAACTCATTCCGGGTGCATGTGCGTGCATGCACAATATCCCGAGAGGAGAATGGAGGAGAAGGGATTGAGGCGTGGCCATTCCTCCTGGGGGGGGAGGTGATATCTCGCTTTCTGTCTTTCTCTCTCTCTCTTTCTAGTGAGTACACATACCCTATAGCAAAAAACCATCAAAAATAAAAAGTAACCTTTTGAATAAAAGGGGCATATCTCAAAATTCTGAAAAGGTTTCAAACAATCAAATAATACATAAAGAAAAATGGGAGTGACTTTAAGAGTAATTTGTAAGACTTCTGATATTGTTCCTTTTTTATTTACCTTGAGTGCTATTTGTTTTATATTAATCTATGTAAATTAACATGCTTACTATTTTATTTGAAATGTGACACAGTGATTCATAATTTTTTTAGGGATAATACATGAAGATGATTTATGCTAGGCCTGTAAAAGTTGATTGGATCTAAACTCAGAAAAAGCCTTGGACACATTAAAAAGATTTCCCATTGGGTTTCTAAAAAAATTAGAAAAGAGAAGGAAAATGATCTTAGAAACGATCTGAGAAATTCACAGTGACATTTGGATTTGGTTTAAGTGCCATATAGATTCTTTATAACTTCCTTATCAACAAGCTATGAAGTAATGAAGTTTCTGTTATAATTTTCAGAACTTACTTTCAAAATCCAGGAAGAAATGTGGATAGTTTTCAATTTCCCTGGTAAGGACTTTGAGCAGGTTTCCCATCCCAGCAAACCTAGGAAAGGCAAGAACAGCAACAATAAGAAAAAAACACCATCAGCAATATGAAACCAAGACAGATGGGCACGAATACCACTGGATGCCCTATAGCCACCTCTGAAGACCAGTATCTGAAAGGAAGCATCTCTGTCCTGAGAAATGAATAATAACTTGGCAATTATTCCTGAACTAATGACAGATATACATGTCCAAGGTGCTAGGTTTATAAAACTTAGAGACATCTGGTCTAAACCATACAAAGCACAATGATAAAACTGCCACAAGACCCTTTTGGAGCATATACTTACACCCTGCATATTACTTGCTATTTGAAAAACTTCCAAAGAACATTGTATTAATTTAAATTAAATTAACCAGGCATTTTAGTTATAGGATTCAGAACTTAGGTGTATTCTACAAAGTACTTCTCTTTCTCCTTCACTAATCCTCTGAATCCTTACAGCTACTATTTCAGCCTTGCTGTTTCCTTTTCATTGATATAGAATATACCATGTCAATTGACAAGCACAAAAAAGATATTAAAATAGATATTAAAATACCTGTCCATAAAGGCAGGTTTCTTAAAGTTCATGAGGAATATAGAAAAACACAGATTTCTAGTCTCAGGGACTCCTCTTAATGAGTTTCTCAGAGGTATTACTCTAGGACAAGTTAGAGGCTTTCATAATTTGACATTTCAATGGTAAAGAGACTGGGTACTTCATGGAGCATAAAAATGAAAAGGTATAATATACAAAGTATTATTCTCAATAAATTGCAGCCCAAGACATTTGCAAAGGTGAGTCAAATCAAGAGAGAAGCACACACACACTTTTACATACTTGCTGTCTGAAGCAAAAACAAAAAAAGAAAAAAAAAACAGATAAAATGTCTTTTTTTTAAGCAAATAGAAAAATTTCTTCTGCTCTAAGCCCTAGACTATCTTTTGGGGAGGCCACTCATCCTCTCAATCAACCTACGCATTTATGGAGCAGCAATTCAACACTAGGCACTGTGCTCCTTGGAAGGCATTTCTGTAACTGGTGGAAGGGAACTCTCTTGACTCAGATATCTCAGTTTGTTAAGGATCACTCTGAAAAATCATTAGGCAGTGAAAGGGAGCTGCAGGGCTGCAATTTCTGATACATATGGCTTCTAATAGTGTTTATGTTGATACAGGAAATGTTTATTTTTAAATGCTTACTACTTTTTAAAGTTCATTAATTTATTTCCTCCATGAATGAAAGACACATGCAGGGAGCACTCCTTACAGGGTCTTGACACCATGATTCACTCCAAGCCTGCAGCCAGCCTAGGATCATAGGCATACTCATTCACAGCATAATCAAGGAGTTTCTCTGGATTTGAACCAGTAACCTGTGTGGGATTATCTTGCAGAGATGTCACATTTTACTACTGTGCCACTGACTGGCCCTGGCAAAGAACTCTATTTTCTAAGAGGTTTTTGCCTTAGGGCACTTGTACTTGCAGGAGAGAGAGAGAGATAGTGAGAGGGAAAGTGAGAAATCATCCTGGGGAATGGGGAGGGTGGTCATGCTGCAACCCTTCTCCTCCAATCTCCTTGGATCTTGGACATGCACACACACGAACCCTGTGTGAGTTTTGAGCCACTGGGTCCAGGACTCGAACTGCGATCACCCATGTGGGAGTCTAGCGATGTAACCTTTACTCCATCTGCTAGCCCTGACAAAGAATTTTTAAACATATATCATTATAAGAAAGATACTGTCAGAGAAAAATGCACTAAAACGAACACTCTGTACATGAAAACACATAGCAAGTGGTATAATCCGGTCTTTATAACCTCCACTGAGAAAACACTTGCAGACAGCATTTATAGGAAATGCTCAAGAAACAATATATGCTCTCACTGTTGATGGTGATAATAGCTACCATTATCATGATTATTGTTACGCTTATCTTAACAGCCTCTGGACACTTATTTAGGATTATTCTATGGAAGATGGATTAGACAGGCTGTATAGAACTATAGGGAAGAAAACTAAGACCAATGCAGGAATGAGGAAGCTCTCCATTCAATGTCATGGAAGAATTTCTAACCTTTATAGTTGTCTGAATATTGATTTGTCTTGTGAAATAGTGAACTTCCTTTCACAGGAAATGCTTAAGCAGTAATACGCTATGTCAGCCCTTAAGAATGTTGGGAAAATGAGTTGTGTTTGGAAGAGGTTGGACTAGCTACTTTTTAGACCTCTCCTACCTTGAAGTGGACGAATATCGGGACATGTGCTTGTGTGTTAATAAGTGCACAGGCCAACATGTACACTGTTTTTCTCTCTTTCTCAAGAATCCTCCTTCTATCTCAAAGCAATCTTCCCTGTCCTTTTTGCCAATCTTCCTTTCTTCCCTGCCTTTATACACATTTCCTTTTAAGATATTTTTGAACAAAGCCCTGTGTGAGGTAGGTTCTGACAAAGCTCGGAATTAGTATAGTCCATTCCTGCACTGGGCAGCATTCACAAACTCTCCAGGGACTCTTGGAAGTATCTGTTTTCAGCTTAATGAACAACTCTGCTCTCATCTGAAGACACTTCTTATAGTGCTACTGTTTAGTAGCAGTCCCAACTGTCATATAAGATACCTTAATGGAAGTTAAATAGTCTTAATTTCTCTAGTTTTGTGCTATGACTGTGTCACAAGAGACCTGCATGGATCTAGCTTCCTCCTAAAATTATGTCTTGTGTGTGACTTTACTATCAGAGTACCTGAATGGGAAATATGTCAAGCCTTCGAAATTCATAACAGACTGAAATAGACACATGTGGAAATACATCCTAATAGCTGTAGAATTTAATCTCTTCAAAGGTTATCCGAGCTGTTTGGCTGACATGGTCAAATACTTTGGAACATGATTCTAACATGAACCAAGGTCAATTACCAAAGACGCCTGGGCTTCTTGATGTGTCACCTCTCAAACAGGAACATCTGGATCAATGACTGTGGGACATTACATAGCTATAAGGGTCAAGTTGAGTCCAGTGGAACCTAGGAAACATGTGTTTAAAACCCCCTGCAAATTCCCTAAGTTAGTACAGAAATATCTCATCTCATCCCCTTCATGTCAAAAAAGATTTGATACTTATGGCCTTCCTCCACGGTCAGTAATTCATGGGAGTACCTTCTTGTTTGGGAAGGTATGTAAGTGAGTTGGAACATCACACACACATGGTCACTAGGAATAGACGAGGGTTATTATTTTTTTTCTAATTTAAATTTTACCAAGAGGGCATATGCACTTATCAGAGAGACAGAGAGACAGAGAAGGGAGAGAAAAAAGCACCACCTTCCTCAACCCAGAGGAATGGTTACACCTTCCTCCTCCACTTCTTCATTTTATCAGGACCTTAGGAATGCAAGCACACATACTCAGTGCATTTCTCAAGCCACTGGGTCTGAGACTTGAACTGTGGGGCTAGCCATGTGAGATCCAGCTCCCCTAACCACCAGGCTCTGGAGCTGGTGCCAAGGTTATTCTTAACTAGACTCAGGGCTCTCCTTGGAAAGGTCCTGCTCCTGTATTCTTCATGTCAGAGACTCTAATCATTTTAAGCAGCTCGTTAGTGAATATAAATGCATCACTATGTACTGCACAGTTTATGACAAGGTGTAGTTAAACTAGAGATTATTTTAAAAATAATTTATTTAGTAAAATAATTTCGGATAAGCTCTTATACATTACTATAGAGCAGAAATATTTATATAGTAAAAGTGAAGAAAAGAGAAGAATAAAGGTAGAAAGTAAGATAAGTAAAGAAGTAAGTAGTACATAAATGATAGGCCATCTAGGCCATTTAGTGGAGATGTCTTATCAATCTGGATGTGAGCTTCTAGACAGCCTAAGTAAAAACGAAGGAGAAGAAAAAAGATTCCTTCAAAATTTGGTGGGAGAAAGAGTGAGACCGAGGGAGAGAAATATGGCTTTTGTGAATAAAAGGGAAATAATAATCATGGTTAAGTGGGAGTCAAGACAGAGAAACCCCTTCTAGATAAGAGCAGAGGCTGCTTCACAAAGATAAGTCCATCTGAGAATGAGCGGAGTCTCAGAAAAACATGGGCAGAGCAGTGGTTTCACAGAGTGACTACAGGAACGAGAACATCGACTTTTTAATTGATTGTCCACGGTGTGCCTGGCACAGTGCATGGAGCTTTTGTACACTTTATTTCATTCAAGCCTGGGGAGGGGGAAGAGGTTAAAAATAGTTCATTCACTTTCCAGGGACTACAAGAGAATAAAAGATAGAGTCATATTTGACTTTGAAAATCTGTGAATACAAAGTTGCTCTTTTCTGCACAGTAGAAGACCTGAGGCCCCAAACTCCTGGGAGCCTCTGTTTGGAGACTTCAGAGAGTCTGTGGTCTCTTGGTATTATTGAAGATATGCACTAAGTTTTCTGGGAGAGAACTATTGGATTCCAGAAGGGGCTTGTTCTATAATTCTATACTCTTACTGCTGAATGGAATATATGAGGTAGGACATGTTAAAGTACTCAGAGAAGAAAGAAAACCATGTGAGTAACATCTGGAAAAGTCACCTTTGTAGAAGTGAGCTGCCATTCAGAGGTGAAAGGTGCTAGGACACAGATTGGCTGAGGGAAGTCTTCCTGTTAGGGGAGATGAGAAGTTTGAAGTTTTGTGCAAAGAATGAGATAGAATGAGTGATTTATCAAGTTCTTTAAGAACAGAAGATTTATTTCTCAAGGTTCATTTACTGCAAATCTATTTTGAAATAAGTCCTTACAAATTTTTGTTTCCAAACAGTCTAGGAAAAGAATGCTTCTCTAATCACCTTAAGAGCAATAACAGTGGGGCCAGTAGGTGGCTGGACTCCCCACATAATTGATTTCAGTTTGAGTCCCAGACCAGGCAGCTTTAAAATCATTGCCAGACACATATATGTGTTTGCCCAAAATCCCAAGAGGAGAATAGAAGAGAAGAGATTGTACTGTGGTATGATTTCTCACTTTCCCTCTCACT